ATCAGACTCAACTAATTTCTTCAACCTCATTTCATACCAACTTTGCCCAATATCAGTTTGCACCAGTCCCAACTGTTTCTGGAACATGCTAAGTTCTTTCCTGCTTTGGGACCTTTGTACTTGCTCTTCACTCAGTTCTTACTATGGTTCTTCCTAACTCTCTTTTTGTCTTAACTCTTAAAGATCACCCCCTCAGAAATGGTTTTCCAACCTACTCCATCTCAACAGGACCTCCCGTGTTACTCATTATCACAGTGCCCAATTTTTTTCTTCACAGTATACAGAAGGCCAACTGCAAGCCTCTCTCCACTAGAACGTGAGTCCTTTTTGAGAAGTGATCTTCTAAGATCCATAAGACATACTTGGCATATAGAAGGCACTGAAATGTGTTGAGAGGGAGGAATGGAGAGAGTCAAACTTAGATGCTATTAGGTGATCAACAAATATTAATGAATGAATTTGTTTGCATTGTGGGATAACACATCATAAATCAATTAAAAGAACACAGAGTAAAACTGGTGATTTTGATTCTACAAAAGTTGATTATACCAGTAATTTAGAAAATGAATCCACTTGCCTTTACTACTAATACCTCTAGTCAATGATAATAAAATTATGATGGAAAAATGACAATTTAATGAGAAACTTAAAGATAGCACAATATAAAATTGTGCTAACTTTTATACATAAGTTTAAAAAGAGTAGAAAGAACTTCCACATCAAAACTTAACAGATTATATCTGGATATGGTTTGATACATTTTCTTTTTGTCTCTTTCTATATTTTCCAAAGTCTCTACAATGAGAATTTGCTTTTATAATAAAAAAAAAAAAACAATTGAAAAACAACAACAAAAAATATTGATCACACTTTGCTGGCTCTAAATCTAGCCATAACCATGAAGCATTACAATAACCATTTTTTTAAATCTTCAAATGATAGTCATTAAATCTTATGACAGTGAATTTTTTAAAATTAATTATCTGCCCTTTTTTCTTTTAATTTTGGGAGGTAGCTCAGAATGGTGAGGGGGAACCATCATTGTATTCAAACTTCTAAATTCCAGCTTTTTTTCTGGTTATGTAATGCTGAATATGTTATGTCACTGAATTCAATTTTTCTCATCTGTTAAATGAGAGTAATACCACCAGTCAGAGATATTTATAAACCACCAGGCTTAGTGACTGGCATATGGCAAGATCTAAATAAAGAGCAGCTACTATAATCCATCAGAATAGTATCGCCTAGCTAGGTTAGGAGAACTCGGAGATTCCATGATCACCCTTGTTCTGCTGCATTCCTAGACCAGCACTGAGCCAGTATGTAGCAGTTTTCAACATACTTTGTCAAATCAATTACTATCTTCATTACCTTTTTCAGGTAGAGCTACATTAGAATTGTAGGGAAGTATTACATCTCTCCTCCTATTTATTTTAATGGAAAGTTAGAATAACTCTTAAAAGCTAGAGGAAGTTGAAAATTAAATCAAATACACCTATACTATCCCATGGTAGCAGAAAATAAATGAGTAAACAAGAGAGACAGACAATTTTAGATAGAATAAGTAACGCTATTAGTCATTTCTTATTATATATCTTTCCACATTTCTAAATAATATATTTAAGCTGCTTCTTTAGACATCACCTACTGACTCCCTGTTACAGCAGATGAAGATTTTTACTACACTGACACCATCTTCTCATTCCTTTCACCCGATCCTTCCACTGAATTTTATCCCAATATTTGGTTACACTGTAGTTTCTGCTTTATAGAGAAATACTGCTCACTGTAGAACCAAGAAATGTATTGTATGTCTCCTTCTGTATAAATTTTTTTTCTTTTCCTATTATGTTCTTATCCTCAATCTTTTATATCAGATGTTATTAACCTATTGGCAATTTGTTTATTGCAAATGTTCAAACACACCTATTGAGCCTACTTTTATTATTATTTTTTAAATATTTTATTTATTTATTTTTAGACAGAGGGGAAGGGAGGGGGAAAGAGAGGGAGAGAAACATCCATGTGTGGTTGCCACTTGCACGTCTCCTGTTTGGGACCTGGCCCCGCAACTCAGGCATGAGCCCTGAGTGGGAATCGAATCAGTGACCCTTTGGTTCACAGGTCGGCACTCAATCCACTGAGCCACACCAGCCAGGGCTATTGAGTCTACTTTTATCTGGAAACCTCACTTTGGTGAGGAAGAGTGCTCTTCTTTCCTATGTCCTCCTGCTCCAATCTGAACTAGATGCTTATTTGGTTTGCTGTGCAGCTACCAGCTTGAGATGTCCTTTCACTGCTTCCCAGAGTTAGATGGTCTTCTTCCCAGCTCCTATGTTTTCTTTTTAATTACTTTTTACTCCCGTTTGTTACTGTGTATGATGTACTAATTGCCTAAGGAAGAGTGAATAAAAGATCTATCATATTTTTAATCTTGTGTGGCAGATAACTATTGATTGCCTGATCTACTAGCCATTGCCAAACCCCCTTCCCAGGTATACCATATAAATATAGGCTGGAAAAGCTAAATAGTTGCTTTACCAAACTCCCTTGAAGACAGGTTTCACAGGTTTTGTCAACAAAATATAAGATTTCTGGGCAAGTTTTGTTTTCCTTCCTTTTTTCCTATCTGAGAAAAAGGTATGATGTTTGAGATACACCAGCCATTTGCCACCACGAGGCTACCACTGTGTTAAGGATGCAAAACAGAAAAATTAGGAAGAACCTGGGGGCCTTCGTGGCATTGCTTGAGTCACTTCATCAGTGCCAGATTATCTACCTCTGGACTACTTATTCTATGAGAGAAAAGACTCTCTATTTGTTTAAGCCATGGTTCTCTGGGTTTTCTATTACTTGAGGCACATTCTACTGATAAACCATATGTATCTGAAAATAGTATTTCTTCCCTCCTGCTTCACTGGTGTTTTGGCTAAAGATAGAATTCTAGGTTGATAATAATTTCGCCTCAGAATTTTAAGACCTTATTCTCTCTTATAACTTCCAATGTTGCTGAGAATTTTTATATCATTCTAAGTCCTGTTCCTTTGAATGTGACCTCATTTTACCCTAGAGGCTTTTAAGATATTCTCCTTATGCCAGATATGTGAAATTCCACAATGCACACTGACATGACCTCAGAGTGAGAAGATTCTTGTTTCTGTTTTTCTGAATCTGATGTACTAACTTCTACAGAGGTCCATGTATAAATCGGAGCCAATGTTATTCAGTTTGGGGAAATTTTCTAGTATCCTCCATCTGCTTTGTTCTCTATAGCTGTAGAAACATTGGACCTCTTGGATTGATTTTCTAAGATCCCTATTTTCTCCAATTTCCATCTCTGTCTCTGGCCGTTTTTCGGATTTTTTTTACAATTCTTCTACTCTCTTATTCTAGCAAAATTTATTTTCCAAAAGCTCTGTTAGTCTCTGATCTTTCATTGCATCCTATTATAGTTTTATGGGTGCAGTATCCTTTTCTCTAAGAAAATTGGTCCTGATCCCGTATTCTTCAGACTATAAGACCCCCCCCCCCAATTTGGGAGGAAAATGCAGCAGTAACCCCGCTCCACCGTCCTGCCCATCATCTGAGAGCCAGGTAGGCTACATTCTGACTATAAGACGCACCTTTATTTTCCTCCCAAATTTTTTGGGGGGGGGGGGTCTTATAGTCCGAAAAATACGGTGCTTGTGTTCAGTGCATTATCTCAGATTTCTGTTTTCAGGTTTGCTTTGTTTTCGTGTCTCTCTTTCCTGGTGAAGGCCCTGATATGAAAGATACTTATCTGACAGTTCATTTAGAGCTACAAAATAAAACATTAATTGCCAGTATGTGTACCATGGGCAACACTACAGGGGGACTGGGCTGTGAAAGTAGTCATTGTGCTGGGGGCTAGGTGACAAGATTTGGCATTTTACTGGGAGTGGGGCAGGGGGTTCCAAAACAACAGTATCTGGAAATCTTTTCTCTGAGGTCATATATTTCCTCCAGAGAAGGGGATTCTAGTCTTTCCTAGGAGACATATGCCTGCCATTATGGGAACAGGGACATGGTCAGAAACTCCACTATTCAGCTGATAGGTTTAACTGTCCTATTTTCTACCCTGTCCCCTATGCCTCCACCGAACCTGTCATTCCATTTTCCCCTGGAAAATAAAGTGCTAGTAGGAAGTATGGGAGAAGGGGCCTGAGGGCAAACTACTTCATGTGTACTTTCTTTTTTTACCTCCAGCACTATCTTTTGTTAAAAAACAAGTTTTCCCTCCTAAATACAGTGATTAGAATTAAAAAATCTGTTTTTATAAATAATAGCTAAAAGGAAAAGCAAGATGGTCTAATTTCTTAACCTACTGATCGAGTTAGGCATTTTAAACTTTAACCGAATACCATTCTTCTGTGTATGTCACAGGTAAAGTAATTACCATGTAGGGTAACTATGTATATCATCCAAAATAGGATACTTTTGGGAGTAAATGGGGTAGTATTAGTAATTATGCCAGGGTAATATGCATAAAACTGGGACTATCTCAGGCAAACCAGTCACTGTATTACTAGGAGAATAACTTCCTGGATGCTGAGCTTATAAACTTAAAAGGCATTACCAATTACATGTCCACCCTCAGAACAAAGACATATCTATTATACTAGTGCATAATATGTCACTATATTAAAAAGAGAAGATGGAAAGTATTAGCAAATATAGAATAATACAGTTTTTAGGACATTAATTCTTGCAAAGCCTCCTCCCAAAATAGGCACACAAATAATTCTTTTAAAAATTCACATACTGTCTTTCTGCTCCAAGGGAGTAATGATAATTCATATATTTTAAACAGATAAAACTGGATAATTTAGCTTACAGAGTTTTCCTCATCTTAGTCAGAATTACTTCAATTAAAGAAATGGGGAAAGAGTGAAGAATGGTTAGAATGCAAAGAAAATGGGCTGCAATCTTCTACCTTATAAAGTAATTAAGACCTGAGAGAAATCATTAAATCCCTTTACCCATTCCAGAGTCTTTCTTGGTGCCATCTGATATTATGTCTACGTGATCAGAGTCCACGTCGTAACTAAAGAAATCATTCAAATAGGTCTTCGATCGCTGGCCACCAAATACATATAAGCAACGATTTTTCTGAAAAATAAGAAAAAGGGAGCAAAGGACAGAGAAAGTAATCACTTCCATGAAAAATTCAGAATGATCTTTTAAAAGTATAAGCCTCTATAAAAGTAACTTTATGACAAATCCCATGCAATGCAGTACTATGATGGTACAAAGAGAAATGCAGCTTTCTCTTTGAACCTAAAGGTTCTAAAGGCAAAGGTTCTAATTGCAAAGAGGTGATCTCCAGAATATCCTATTAAAGTGAAAAGTCAAGGTGCAGAATAATGTACACAGGGTGGTGCCTTTGTATGAGAAAGGAGAAAAAGTAATACGTAAGTGTATGTTTCTTTCTCCAAAAAGAAACAAAGAGAACTAATAAAACACAGTCACCTACTGGAGAAGTGACAGATCAGGAAGACAGGGATAAACACCTGATCTTTTGTAAAGAACCCAGACTTACAGCTTTGCCTTTAGAATAGGTATATATTTTAATTTAACTAGAAGACAAATAACTAAAAAAAAAATATATCTGAAATTTGAATAAAAGAATAAACATATTGGTATATAAAGACATGACCATACAGAGATCATCACACAGAGAAGTAATATTTCCAGTGATTTTAATTCATGTTTTTGACTACCCTTTCCTAGTGGGCTATACCCTAAATAGAAAAATAATAAGAAATAATTTTAAACAGCATTCTGTGATTTTGTTGTTAGTTTTGCTATTCGGTAAAGTATAAGACAGATCAAGCAATGTAATAATGACATTAGGAAGGAGGATTTTAAACTTACAAGATACACAAATACAAAATCAAAGATATTAAATTTAAAAATTATAATCTTTAATTTTAACTAGATATATCATTATAAACTCATGATTTAACTTATCTCTACCTAAAAAAAGATTCATATGTGTGAATCCCATGCACTTATACGTGTGCATGGGTATATTGTGAAGGGGGGCATGCCTAATGGGCAAAGACAGAGAAAAATATGGGTATCAAAAAGAATAATGACACCATTGTATTAAACATATCAAATATATAAAAGTCAATGAGTTCATAATAATACTTTAAAAAATCCACTGATTAACTTTAGAGCCTTAACTCATCAATATGAAAAAGTGATAAAGGAAAAGAATCAAACATTCTCATAACCTATCCTGTGTGTTTACTTATCAGGGTAGCCATATAGTTAATAGGAGTGAGTTTTTTACAATACAATCACAGTCAATAAATGCAGAAGAAATGACACAATTAGGAGAATCACCATCTGACAAATCCTAATAAAATCTAGGCAATGACTATCAATGGCTGCTAGAGCCATTAGGTAAAAAGTTGACAGGAAACTTTATAGTTAATAAATAGGCTGATAATACCTGAATTCAATGAGCAACTTTAACATCAGTAAAAGTATGACCACATTAAATGCCTCTTGATATTTTTCAAGCAGACCACCTCTGAAGTATTCTTACACTTCTTCTTTTGTACTCCCTGCTCCCCCCAGTAGGAAGAGTGAATCCAAAATCAAGTACTGATTTATCAGGGTGATCAAGATATGCAAATATCTAAACACTGGGTTGTGTACCTGAAACTAATACAATGTATGTCAACTGTAACTAAGAAATTCTTTAAAAAAAATTTATTTTGCCTTTAGAACCTTTAGCTCTGATTTTAACTACCAGCTGACATGAAATATGGATAGAAGATCACATTATATGAGGGTAAAATCGGCCAAATCAAGAATACAGGAAATTCTAAGGCATGCATGATTAAATTTCGTTAACAAATGCAGTGAGTACCATTGTGAATTAAAAGAAATTTAAGAGACATTACAACCAAATGTAATAAAGACTTTTTTAAGAAAAGATTTTATTTATTGTTAAAGAGGTGGAAAGGGAGGGAGAAAGAGGGGGAGAGAAATATCAGTGTGTGGTTGCCTCTTTCACGCCCCCTCATGGGGACCTGGCCCTGCAACCTAGGCGTGTGCCCTGACATGGCCTGCAACCTAGGCATGAATTGAACCGGCATTCATTTGATTTGCAGGCCGGCACTCAATCCACTGAGCCACAGCAGCCAGGGCATAATACAGACTGCTTTTGAATAAACCAAATATGAATAAACTTGAATAAACCAACTATGAAAGGTATTTTTCAGTATTTCAGAAAAATTCTATGTATTAAAAGATATTAAGAAATTGCTTTTATTTTGGTTAGGTCTTATAATGGTATTACAATGATGAGTTTTAAAAGTCCTTAGCTATTAGTGACATACAGTATTTACAAGGTATAAAAATAGTGTTTGGGATTTGCTTTAATATACCCCACTAGCACAAGAAAATTTAAGAATAAACTTAAAATTCAAAGAAACATCAAAAAATAAATGAAATACAAGTGGGGTAAATATATGAAAAATAAACAGTAGAATACTGGTAACAGCTGAAACTGATGAGTACTTTTCTCCCAGGAATTTATTATACTTTTATTATACAGGAATTTATTATACTTTTCTCCCTACTTTGGTATGTTTAAAATATTCCATAATATGTTTTTCAAGTTATGTCCACAGAAAGAAGTCCAAGTTTTCACTGTAACATCTGAAAAGGTTAATACAATGTCTATGTTGGTTTTGCTGATAAATTTTAATTTCATTCTATAAAGTCAATTCTTAATTATGTGCATTTAATGAAGAAGAGCAGAGTGGAAAATAAGAACAGATAAGAAAATTTATCTTCTAGGTACTAAGAGAAATAAATAAATAGAAATAGCTACAATATCTATATAAGCAGTGAAGTTGGTCATAAAAATGCCTAGATTAGTATCCAAGTGATAACTATTTTGGAATTACTAAGTTGATGGGAAATACTTTCAATTAGCTAACAGATCACTGTTAAAGAGTTTTATTTTTGTCTATCATTACTAACACTGATTGTTTATTTCTAATAAAAAGTTTTGATCTCTTACTGAGGAATTAATTTCACCATTTCTTTTCCTACTGAGATATATAAGACAAAATAACATAACACAATGTAGAGAATATTCTTACCGAGTGAAAGAGCATGCAGTGTCCTATCCGAGACTGGATATCCTCAGGCCCAGCATTACAGGAGTCCTCTCGAAGAAGCTTCCAGGTCTGACACTGACAGTTGAAAGCAAACAACCCACTGAATTGTGGTTCACTGGCTCTGCTGTCGTCTACGCTGCCATTACACGTCAAAATTCTACCACCAAAAGTGTAGATCATATGTTTTTCGGAGTCCATACACATCTATCAGAACAAGACAACAGATTGAATAGTTTTAGACTGTTCCTGTCATATGTGCTAAAGTGAAAACAATGTGAGTGGTTTTAGATTCTTTAAAAAGAACAAAAAACAAAAACAAAAAAACTGAACTTTGTCTTATTAACATTAAGTACCACCACTGATTATCATATGCACTTAATGCAATGCTGCTCAGCACCTGGCAGGCATATTTCTAAATACCTTTTCACATTTCTGTCTTTCCCACTGAGAATAAAATATGTTGGGTTAAAGAGCTTTATGCTTTCTTGAAATTAGTAATTTTTACCAAATCAACCAAATACATGAGGTGCTGACTTTCAAACCTAAGAGTAAATACAGATCATACTCTACGGGTAAACAATGATCACATACTCCTTTTAATCCTCCTTATAAAAACTTTCTGTTCTAGGCAAGCATCTTATTCATCTTGCTACTACTATTTATAAGAGAGCAGATATGTGAATGAGTGATGCAACTAAGCTCACCTCCTTGCATTTATTTTACAAAACTCTTCAAATTATGTTACAAAAGAGTACATCAAACAAAAAAACATTTAAAGCAATCAGTCTCCAGACTGACATCTATGGTGTGATGAACCTTGTCTTCTTTTAACACAATACTATAAATTTAATTTTCTTTGAGGTATGTTATGTAACTCATGTTCAAAAGCCAACCTTAATTCTTTATTCTTTCAACTCAAGATTATAGTTTTCACAAAAATATCAGGAAAAAGTCATTTGTCAAAAGATAATAAATAAGAATTAAATTTATTTCAAGGAATATGTACGTCCAGGTTGGAAATTGACAATGAATACAAGTGGCATTTATATTTAAAGAAAAAAACTGTATACACAAAACATTATTTTGCTAAAGCACAAATACTAGTCACTGTATGTTCAATTCTCTCCTCCCATCAAATTACTTCTGCTATTTATTTTTGTATTGTTTTTAATAAAAAGCTTTTTAAACAATCGCAAACCTTGGTTTTTATATAAACACTGAAAAGATTTTAACCAATGTCACCCCAGTCAATTCCAAGAAAAAACTGTAGCACATCCTAATCTTTACCCACCATCAAAAAGATCTACTCACTTGCTACTACTACCCAGGTTTCTGGCAATTTTCATAAATTAAGATAAAAATTTACTATACCTCAAAGGTGAAATCTTGGTGAATATGATTGCAAAACTGAGAAAGTTTTCATGACCCTGGCCCTCCAAAGGATGTGTTCCTACTCTTTAATCTTCAATAATCCTATCATTAAAAGCAATCCATGCATTTCTGAAGACAACTCAGTAGGGCCCCAATCACCTACTATACATATGACAGTCTAGGGCTTCACTGAAGCTGGGTCTTATCACCCTGTCCTAAGTACTTAAGGCTCCAATCTCTGCAAACACTGGGGATCATGCTGAAAATCCCAAGGGACTTATATCATGGAAGCCAATTTACATTTTCATAAATTCATAGAGTCATACTAATTTTGGTCAATCTATGTCTTATCAGGTTTTCTATGGTTATCTGGCCCCTATAGGTCTTTATACGGCTACAAAGGGATTTTCTCTTTCCTTTTGGGGATAATTTCAATGTGCCTGTTCTCATTTGTTTGCCTACAAAGGTAACCAGTTTTCTCTCTGAGGCTTTTAGGATTTTCTCTTAATCCTTGGTTCGGAAATTTCATTATGGAAGTATCTAGGCAGGGATATTCTTTTTCATTCATCTTGATCTGTGCCTGGTGTTCCCTCTGTTCTGAAAACTGTCTTTCTTGGAGTTTTCTTCATTTTTACTTTGAGTTTGTTTGGGTTTTGGGGGTTTTTTTTTTGTTTGGTCTGCATTCTCTTCTAGAACTCTTATTAGGTGGCGTTGAAACTTCAGGACCTTTTCTCTGTTTCTTTTCTCTCAAAATTTCAACTAATTTAGTAACCACTTAGAGGTGAGTGTGTTCATTCTGCTTCCCAATTAATTTGCTAAGATTAAAAAAATCTTTGTCATTTTTCTAGGCACGTATTTTTAATGAATGCAATATCCACTGAATTACTCTAAAAATATCACTTAAACTTATCTTAAAGGATTCTTCAGTTTATACTAGTTTTTCTTTGTCAATTCTTAGTTTGTTGAGTTCAGCATCTTTCTGATGGCATTAATTATATTCAAATATTTTGATTTTTTGGTTGTTGTTCTAGTCCTTTTTGCATCTGAGAATCTCTAGTCATCTGCCTGTTGCAAACACAATAGCCTGCTTAAAGGGGCTGGATGGGAAGAAATGAGATGTGATGCTATGAAGGGTGCCACAGCTGCTCTCCAGTGCCCTTGGGAGTATTGCTCTTTGCAGCTCCAATGCCCACACTCAACCCTTGACCTATGAACAATGATCACAGTTAAGTGCTACTCAGTCAAACTGAAGAACGTTCTGCTGTTCAGTCTCCCACTGATCATCTACTTTTTGCCCCAGCTATATAAACTTTGAGGCTCATGTGGCTGCTATCTTACAGGCTCCAGTTTTTTCCAGTTGGATCTGATTTTGTCTGCTTTCTACCTTAAAGGAATTTTACCCATTTGTTTTTGTTGTTGTTTTTTTTAAGTTCTCCAGGGGCATTCTTTCTTGTTTTTCAACACTATTACTAATGTATTCTCTTGTTCAGCCTGCCAGTGATGCACACTGGCCCAGGGAGAATGTCAGTAAGCTGAGATCTCCAATGTTTTCTCTGAAGTTTCTCCTGCCATTCTTTGGCTAGCTCATATTTTTTCTAGTAATTTCTGCAAAAAGTAGTCATACTTGAAGGGCAGTTTGTCTACATATAAAATCCTTGCCTCGCACTCTCTTTTTCTGAATACCTTCTAGATGTTGCTCTACTGTTTCCTGGCACTGAATGTAGCTGTAGAGACATCTGATATCAGTCTCATTTTCTCTCTCTTACAGGTAACTTGATCATTTTGTCTAGTTGCCCCCAAAATGGCCTTTATATTTGAAATCCAATGTTACTAACATATGTCTTACAGCTGAATGCCTAGTTCAGTTTTCCCTGAATACAGCACACCTTTTGAAATATAAAATACACTTCTTTGTTCAGGAAAGTCTTCTTGAATTTTATTTATAAATAATCAATTGTTCCATTGTTTTGGCTTTTGTATTGAATGTCTCCAATTACAAGTATGTTGGCTCACTTTTGCCTGTCTTCTTGATCTGTAATTTTCTGGCTAATTCTTTTTTAAATCTTTAATTACTTATTATCTGTTCTTATTTCCATGCTATAATTACCCTTATCCATTCTTGATTATGCTCCATGGAGATCAGTCGTCATTGCTAAAAGTGTTACTATGTCTTTCTTCAATTTCTTTCCTGAGTTTTACCAGGCCCAGTTTCACCTGCTCCTATTATTTGGTCATCTCATCTGCATTCCTGAATTGATGCATTGTCGTTTTCTTCAGAGTTTCAAGCTTCCATTAAATCATTTAATTCATGTTTGGATACTGGAATATAATTTTCATCTACTGCTGTCTGAAGAAAAGTTTTGCTGTTTATCTTATTGTTTTTCTTTAGAGTACCTCTTTATTTCTTTTCTTTAAAAATTATTTTATTATTGTTCATTTACAGTTGTCTGTGCTTACCCCCCACCACTCCCCCTGACCCAGCCAAACCTACCTCCCTCCCTTGTTTCCACCCCCACTTGGTTTTCTCCATGTGTCCTTTTTATAAAAAATATTTTTATTGACTATGCTATTACAGTTTTCCCAATTTTTCCCCCTCTATCCCCCCTATGCCCTGCCCCCCAACCCTCCAGCATTCTACCCCCTTAGTTCACGTCCATGGGTTGTACATGTAAGTTGAATCCTGTTTCCCATGCCATTTTTTTTATTTTCTCCCCGTCTACCTTATGCCTACTAACCATGCTGCTTCTTCCCTGTACCTTTTCTCCCTATTCCTCCCTTCCTCCTCCCTGCTGAAATCCTTCCATGTGATGTCCATATCTCTGATTCTGTTCCTGTTCTGGTTGTTTGCTTAGTTTTTGTTCTCGTTGCTTTTCTGTTCTTTTAGGTTCATTTGTTGATATAGTTGTGAGTTTGTTGTCATTCTACTGTTCATAGTTTTGATCTTTTTCAGTTTCTTAGATAAATCCCTTTAACATTTCATATAATAAGGGCTTGGTGATGATGAACTCCTTTAACTTGACTTTATCTGGGAAGCACTTTATCTGCCCTTCCATTCTAAATGACAGCTCTGCTGGGTAGAGTAATCTTGGATGTAGGTCCTTGCCTTTTATGACTTCAAATACTTCTTTCCAGCCCCTTCTTGCCGGCAAGGTCTCTTTTGACAAATCAGCTGATAGCCTTATGGGAACTCCTTTGTAGGTAACTCTCTCCTTCCCTCTTGCTGCTTTTAAGATTCTCTCCTTATCTTTAATTTTGGGTAACTTAATGGGGATGTGCCTTGGTGTGTTCCTCTTTGGGTCCAACTTCTTTGGAATTCTCTGGACTTCCTGGGCTTCCTGGAATTCTATTTCCTTCACCAGATTGGGGAAATTTTCCTTCATTATTTGTTGAAATAAGTTTTCAATTTCTTGGCCCTCCTTTTCTCCTTCTGGCACCCCTATAAGTTGGATATTGGAGCATTTCAGGTTGTCCCAGAGGTTTGTTAAGAGTCTCTTCACTTTTTCAAATTCTTATTTCTTCATTTTGATCTGGATAGATGTTTCTTTTTTCCTTTTCTTCCAAATCACTGCTTTGAATCCTGGTTTCCTTCCCGTTACTATTGGTTCCCTAAACATTCTGCTTTATTTCACTTTGGGTATCCTTCATTTGTTTTTTCATTTTTTGATCAAGTTCAATCAGATCTGTGAGCATTTTGATTACCAGGGCTTTAAATTCTCCATCAGATAGGTTGGCAATCTCCTCCTTGCTTAGATCTCTTTCTGAGGCTTTAGTCTGTTCTTTCATTTGGGCCATACCTTTGTCTTGGTGCAGCTGATGGGCTGTAAGGGGGGAGGGCCTTAGGTATTCACCTAAGCAGGGCAACCCTCCTTGCTGCACTGTGGCACTGCCTGTGGGGGAGGAGCCAGAGAGGGAATGGTGCTGCTAGCCTGCTTGTCTCTAGAGCACTTTCCCATGGACTTGTGTGAGACTGGGAGCTTCTCCTACCAAGGCAACCCCAGCCATAGCCCACAGCCACCTCTGAGTTCCCTTAAGCCAGCCCCTCCCACGCAGCCCGCTGAGCTCTGTAGCCAGCCTTGACCCCAAGGTCTGAGTTCCACAGCCAGCCCTGACCCCAAGGTCTGCCGCACCACAGTACTTTTTCCAAGTCAGTCTGAGTGGTCCGTGGCCTTACTGGTCTTGTTCTGGTTGATTTTTTTCTTTAATTCCTTTGTTGTTGCAGTTCCATGCAGTTTGATTTTTTGGCACTTTTTGTTGCTTATTGATTTCAGATTGGTTGTTATCCTCCTTTTAGTTGTGCAAGGAAGTGAAGGGTCTCTACCTACACCTCCATCTTGGCTGGAACTTCCATATGTCCTGTAGAGTACCTCTTTAAAGATTTGGTGTTTATTGTTTTGTAGATTTTCATATTTAAATGCAACTCCTTTAAAGTTAAATTTCCCTGGACCAAATAACAGAAGGTTCCTATGAAAGGGTGATGTTCTTGTTCAAGGAAACCCTCCTCTGTTGCTACTGAGTTAAATGACTTCTTCAAACTATAGTGCATCTGTGAAGTCACATCTTCCTTAACTCTACGAACCCTCACCTGGGTTGGCGGTGGGCTTCTATCACAAGACTTGAGCTTCCCCAATTTCTTCACTGGATATTGCAAAAGGAGTCACTGTCCCCAGCTGTCTTGGTGTTTCTCGTACTTTTCAAAGATGGTGCTTTCTGACATCTACTACATCTGGGACTTTCTGGGTGCTTCCTATCTCTCTGACTCCTCCAGAGGCTGCCTTGGGTTCAACTTTTTGCTCTGCTCCTAACACTTCCCACTAAAATGTGCCTCTGCTCATCTCCTCTGCATTCCCAGTTCCCTACCACACTGCTGTAGGCTTCAATACAGGTTATGTATGGGTATTTCAGTTGTTTTTGGCTAAACTTACAAGAAATTGGGAGTTATGGGTTTTCTTTGGCTCCTGGTTTTGCTGAATATGTGCCTTGTGTTTTTTTATAAATCTTTTTTGGTTTGCTTCTCATTGTTCCTGAAAGTCACACAAAGCAACAACATCCAAAGCTTCAGAACTAAGCTGCCACTGTATTTTTAATAAATCCAAAAGTCTTTAAATTTTTTCACTAAATTTAAAATGGCAAAGTAACTTTTAAACATGTCTTCATGACTCTAGCATTCTCACGTTCTTTTCTAATTTGAACAGTAAGTGTCAAATCTTAGTGTCATGAACAACCCCATGGGATTTTTGAAGTTCCAACTTATAGGTTTATTTGCATGAAACAGAATAGAAAATGGAGGCTTACACGGATAACACAAGGTCACAGAGCTAGTTGTCAGCTGAATTAGGACTGAAATCCTGGTTTCTTTGTCCCCAGTGTTCTGTTATAACATCTAATCAGCTGAAAATCAAACATTTAACAGAACCTAGCTTCCAGGGAACATTCTATTTTATCAAGGTCAAGAGAAGCAAAGACCATACACAGGGCAATATATTTGTACTCAGACTACCTCTATGTTATTCTTTTTCAACTTGTTAAAAAGAAAGACATAGGCATCTTTTGTAAAAAAAAAAAAAATTTGTAACCAGTTGAAAGCAAGAAAATAAATTGTTTCCCTCACAATGTTATCTGCTGATGTTCTGTTTTTAAAATATCAGAACCAGCCAAACTTTTTTTGGAGTTTTATTTTCCACATGAAAACACTGAGAATGTCAGCAGGGAAGTGCAAAGCTTTGCAGAGCTCAGTTATGTAGAGCCAGCAGATGTTCCAAATTCAATCTGGGGAGTACTTTGAAGACTAATGTTTTTGATTTTCCACCCACCACTTACTTGATAGGCATATAATCCATTCCTCTTTTCCTTACCATTCTCTTATCACAACTACTTGTTAATATAAACATAGCACTACAATACTTTTAAAGCAAAGAATTAACAAAAATATGTAAAGAAATAATAAATAAAAGACTTGAGTTTCACTTGCATATAAGATAGGAGGTTAAATAGGCCTAACTTAGATTCTCTCATACATCTAGCACCGCCTCTCATTCCTCAAGTACTAGCTAATACTATGTCCATCATTATGATGTTGTGGATTTTTTTAAAAGTCTTTTTCTTCTCCATACCCCCCAAAAACCTTTGGACATGAGTTGAACCAAGTAAAACTGCCTATAGAATTTGAAGGGATTACTGTTTTGTTTGAGGTATTGAACTACCATGAACTGCTATGGAGTCAGTATTCAAATACAGATAATAATGGTAATGACACTGATGGAGATGATGATGAGACCTACATGTATATTAATATTAAAATGGCTTACAATATTGCTATGTGTAGTCTTCTTGTCTACAGCATCACTGTATGATTTCTATTGGTGCTGAACTTAAACTTTATCTAGTTTATGTCAAATTCCTAACAGTTTTATCAATATTTGTGATTATATACAAAGGTAAATATATCTCACTCAAATTGAAAGAAAAGCTCTAGATTTCAAATTCCTGAACTCACTATAAAGTAATTTTACATTTCTTCCAGGAATACAGAATAAAAAGTTTTAAAAGGGAAAACTGTTATTGTTATGATTCATAGATATTTATTATAAAATGAAATTTGTTTTTCTTCATGTGTGTTGCTCTGTCTACTCTCTAACGCTTTTATAAATTCATATTTGTGTCCTGAGATCTTAGTATTTTATCCTGCACTAAACAAGGGCAAAAAACTTTAAAGAATAACTTTATACCTATTGAAACAATTTATTTTTATCATCTGTCACAGGAATTTGTAATAGAAATGGCTATGAAACAAATCAGTGTAACACGTGAAATAAACTCTACCGGCAAGAGTTACTAAGCACTAAGTAATTCTACCATATATTTATCTGGGCACCAAACCTGATGATCAAACACCAACTTCGGCCCTCCGTCAGCAGCGGTATCCTCACTGAGTAACATCCATGTGTTAGTGTCAATGTCATAGCGATAAAAGTCACTCTTCAGAGATTTGCTGTTCCTCACAGAGGAATCCAAATAACGGCCCAACGTGTAGATTTGCCTTCGTTGAATGTCAATGCACATTTTATGACATGATCTGGCACTAGGACCATTCTGTGGAGAAAAAAAAATTCAGAGAACAAATAACAAAATGAAATTAAATGCCCCTTTTTGTTGACTTTCATTACAAGCTTTGCTCAGAAACTCATAGCAAGTCAACTAATGTAAGTCCAACACTAAGCTTAAATCTCAAGGAAAGCAAAAGTGGCAGTAGAAGATACAAAGCTTACCTCAGAAATGCTTAAAATCTACCAGGAAAGATGAGATGAACTATTCTGTACCCTGTGGTATTTTGTTCATAACAATTATATGGCTTCTATTATATACTCCACTGCATTTTAGTCATTTGTGCAAAGTTTAATTCTCTATTGTACATCAATCTACTTAAAGACATATTTGGTCTTTTAAAACATTTTTCATCAGAATCTAGCACAAGACAGGCACTCCAAGAATATCTAGAACCACTGAATTTCGTAACTAGAAGGAATCTTCATAAAATCTCTAGTTTAAACATCTCCTTTTAAAGATGAGGAACTATAAGACAAAAGACAAAAGGCATCCTCCTGAAAGCCAGTAAGCTAGTGACAGAAGCAGAATGAGAATCCAAGTCTCTGACTTCTTCATCTCTCCTTTATATTACAAACAACTGACTCTCCTGACTGAATAAATAACCCAACTAGGGAGCAATATGAAGAACAGCATACTAGTAACAAAAATTAGGTGAGATCACTTGTATCATAGGACTGAATAAAAAATAAAAATTATTGTAGTATAAACCAAAAATAAAGTCCATGAAGAAAAAAAAAACTAATCAGTAGGACTGAATTAAAAGGAAACAAAACTAATATTTCTTAACTATCTCCTAAATTCTGTTTATATTATTACTATGTATGTATGTGTGTGTATATTTCATTTAATCTATATGACAACTCGATAAGGAAATACTATCACCATTTCATAGAGCTTAAGTAATCTGTAAACAGTCACAAAACCAGAAAGTAAGATAGAGAATCTAAGCCCCAGGGTAACCAAGGCAAAATCTGGGTTCTTTCCACTATTCCAGATTGTTTTTTCCAGAAGAGAAACAAAAACAAAAATATACTTATTAAATGTGTGTGGTTATAACTGAGATAAAGAATTCCTGTTGCAGAAATAACAGAGTTGAAGTACAAGGTGGAAATAGAAATCTTGGTGAATGACTGACAAAGAAGACTAGATATAATCTTGCAAGCAATAAAGAACTATTATAGGTTTCTAGAGTGGGATATACAAGAAGAGTAATCTACCATTACTACTGAGATTAAACGAAGCAGTAAAGGTATAAGGAATAAAGGACAATTCGACACTAGTGTTATTAACGCAGATATTAAGTTGATATAAATCTGCATTTTAGTATTCATACTAATTACTACTTTAAAACTTATTTTTAAAGATTTGTGTCAAGAAAAATAGTAGATAAGGTGAAAATTTTTACTTGGGAAAGAGTTTCTTTCATAATTAAATAATCTCAAAAATAAAGATGGGGTAATATATAATAAATCAATGCCACATTTCCTAGAGTATGAAATTTGAAATTTTATTAGGAGAGTAACAGAACTTCTTGCTTCATCTTAATTAGCATGAGTGCTATTAAAATGTTGAGCATTTACAAACTAAGTAATAATAATAATAATAATAATAATAATAATAATAATAGGAATCAACAGAATAGGAAATGGACAAAATTACAAAATTATAAACCATTAGTAAGACTTTTTAAAAAGAGAAAATACAAACAGCCAATATTAGAAATGAAAGCAGGACTATCACTATGGATGGGCTCACTCGAAGTTAAAAAGAAATAGGTCCTATTATAAAAAACATAGGTAAAATCTGACAATGTAGGTAAAAAGACATATTCCTTGAAAAAATTTAACTTACCAAAACTGACACAAGGGGAAGGAGAAAATTGGAAGTCACTTATATCTACTGAAAAATTGAATTCATAATTTAAAACCTTTCCACAGATAATTAATAATTTATAATCTTCCCACAGAGAATAAACTAGTCCCACATATCTAGAATGGTAAATTTTATCAAACACTTAAGGAAGAAATAATACCAAATTTACACAAAATTTTTCAGACAACAGAAAAGGAAAAAAAGCTTCCATTTTAAATCTATATTCTATTCCATTCCTAATTTATTTTATGAGGACAACATAACAGTGAAACGAAGTAACAACAATAGTAGCAACAATAGTAACAACAACAAAAGGAGAAGGAGGAGAAATAATATACAGGCAGCTAGTATACCTCATGCACAAAGACACAAAACTACTTTTTAACAATATATTATCAAGTAGAATGCAGCAGGATATAAAAAAGATTTTATAACTAAAGGGTTTATATCTCAGGAGTGTAAAGTTGACTTTACATTGGAAAATCAATCAAGTTAATTCATCTCCTTAACAGAATTAAAGGGGAAAAACATGATTATGTCAAAATATATAGAAAAAGCATTTGATAAAATTCAACACATTCAGGAGGAAAAACTTACAGCAAACTAGGAATAGAGAGAAACTCCTACCCACCATTGTGACCTTGACACCTCCCCAACACTTAAAAACTTTTCCAATGAGGTTTATAATGATATTAGCAAACATATTATTTTTAGATATTGCATATAAAATACATGAAGATATAGAAGATGTGCATAACTCAGGGAACCAGTATTTTTCAAATGACCAACACATGGGTAAAAAAAAATAGATAATAGATCCATTCAAAGAACAAGACAGAACAATGTGTTTTAATGTAATAGAATATAAAATGTTAGCTTATGGGGCTTCTGAGTAGCATTTCAATAGTCTTTTTAGATAATTATACATGTTCTTTTTTTATATCATATTCCTGTCAGAAATGTTTGAGAGTTCTGGTTGCTCCCTATCTTGTTCCCCACTGACCTTTGTCAAAAATTAATTGATCATATATGTCTCTTTCTGGACACTTTATTCTGTTCCATTATCTTTTGGCTTGTTCATATACCAATATGACATTCCTTGAGGTCAGGTAATATAATACCTCTCTATTCTTTTTTAAAAAAATTATTCTGATTCTTCTAGGTCTTTTACATGTGCAGAAAAGTCTTAGAATCATATTGTTAATTTCTAAAACTGTTGGGATTATGATTGGGAATGTGATGATCTATAAATCAATCTGGAGAGAACTGATGTCTTAATATTGTCTTGTAATCCATGAACATAGTTAAATCTCCATTTATGTCAGTTTTCTTTAATATCTTGCAGCACTCCTGGAATTTTCAGGGTAGAGGGTCGTGGATGTTCTTAATAAATTGATCCCAGTATATTTTGTGTAATTATATAAAAGAGGATATTAAAACACTACTTTCCTTTCCAAAAACGTATCTATGTGAGGTCCAATTTTCTTCATATATTTCACACAAAACAATATGTCACAAGAGATTAAGTGTGGCAGCAGATATGAAGATCTAGTTTTCCACTAAGTCAGACATTAAAGAGATTTATAAAAATGCAAAACTAAAGAAAAAGAGATTTTTGAACCTATAAAAACTTACTTGCATATCATCTTGAACATTTAAAATAACTACTTTCACTCTGGCTGGTATGCCTCAGTGGATTGACTGCCAGCTTGAAAACTGAAAGGTCGCCAGTTCAATTCCCAGTCAGGACACACTGCCTGGGTTTCAGGCCCGGTCCCCAGTGGGGGGCATGTGAGAGGCAACCAATCTATGTAGCTCCCACACATTGACTTTTCTCTCCCTTTCTTTCTCCCTTCCTTCCCTTCGCTCTAAAAATAAAGTCTAAAAAATTATTTAAAAATACATAAATAAAAATAATTATTCTCTTTAAGAGCTGAGTCACCCTATTCTTTCAATCTCTTAAATGTGTTATTAGATACATATTTAACTTAAGTGATTTATATTAATTTTGCTTTTTAATTATGCATCGTATTTTGAAAATACATGTCCTGGGGAATCATCAAACAGTAACTTGCACTCACTGGTATAGAAAATAAAATTAGATAATGGAATGTTAACTGTTTAATTCTGGAAGAAATGAGCATTTCTGCTACAGCCATATATCACAATTCAATTCATAGACAGATCAACAAAAGGTTTTTTGGTGTCTATATGAAGAAGGTAATAATAAACTATAATAAATCTGCACTCCGACACTAGGTTCCCACTTATACCTATTGACTTCAAAATAACAGACACAGTGTTCTTGTCAAAACAATCTGAATTTTTCCAGGGTTAGTTTTAAATAATTATTAACTGCATTCTAAATATCACTAATAACATATATAAAGTGGTATAAAAAAATAATACTCATGCCCAGCTTCAAAAGTAGAACATTAATATTACCTTTGAGGTCCTGTGTAAACCAACCTCTTTTCAAGCCAAGCAGCCACTCTCCTGAATTTTATATTTCTCAGTCCTTTGTTTTACTCTAGCATTAACTTTTCACTGAACTTCTATCACCTACTTACTCACTAAAGAGTAAGCACATGATTTCTGCCTTAAGGAATTCAGAGTCTAGGTAGGAAAACAGGAATGTAAACCAATCATTATAGTAACCCATGTATGGAATATAAGGTGTTAAATGAGCATACCAAAAAAAAAAAAAAAAAAAAGCTTCTAATTCTTCATGGAGACCTCAAGAACACTTCACAGAGGAAGTGACGTTTGAACAAGTTTTTAAAAATAAAGTCATTTACTAGGTAAGGTAAAAGCTGGGTAATGGGAGAAGGACACCCTGTTAATTCCAAACAAAGAAAAAAACAATTGCCAAAGGACACAGGTGAAAAGCAAATACAGTATGTACGGCTGGCACATAGTCTGGAGATGAGGCTAGAAGGTCAATAAGGACAAAATCATGATGAGAAATTTGAAGTTTTTACTCTAAGAAAAAGGAATAAGGTAGATAAACTGCTTAATCATTCTGGTTACTGTTGTTATTCTGAATTCCCTTAGATAGTAGTGCTCCTCATCATACAGTGACTCTGGACTGGGTCACCTGAGTTCCTCCGGCCAATGGGACAAAAACAAATTTGGTGGCATACTCATGTCTGCTTCATCCCCTTTGCAGCTCTGCCCTTGACATGAGAACAAGTCTCAGCTAGCCAACAGGCGTGAGGAGCCACGAAGAACAAAGCCAGGTAATCCCAGCTGAAGCTGTACTGCACTAGCCGACAGCAAGCTGACTCCTGATATATCAGCAAGCCAGTCAAAACCCAAAGAATGACCCAGTCAATCTGTAAACTCCTGAGTAAAATAAATGCTTATTAGTATATGCCAATAAAGTTTTTTAAAGTTTTGAATGAAATAAAATATAGATAACAGAAATGGAAGCTAAACATAGGCTTTGAGCAGATGCCACGTGGCCAGATAATTTTATCTTAAAGACTGTGCTAATAAATGAAAATAGATCTGGGGACCAGCAACAGGCAAAAATGTTGAAGAAAGAAATCACAAAATTGGAATTAATGCCAAAGAGACAGAGAGGAAAAGACATGTGAAATGCAATACTGGGTGCCAGAACTGTTGGAACTTAGGCACTTATTAGAGATACACTCTATTAGTAAGAGGGAGAGTTTCAGGATAAATCCTAGACTTACTATAAGAATAATTACAGGTGCAATCAACCTACCTTTAAAATAGTTTAAGAGAAAAAAGTTAAGTATTTTTTTAGGTGTCTCTTTTTGTTGAGGATAGAAATAAATCATTTCAGAAAATGATACTTTCATTCATACGAAAAGATGAAGGCCATTTTTCACACTTTTACAGGGATAATATATAGAAATCAGAATTTTAAGATACATTTGGAAAGATAAGAATGGTAAATCAATGGAACACATGAATAGCCAAGAATTTGCTTAAGTTTCCTGGGATTAAAGACATAGCACCAGATCTTTTTGAAATGGCCTTCCTAGATTAAATTAGGTCTTTTTCTGCCACTTTTCATTTGCAGCTCCTACTGTTTTGTTAACAGTTTATTTTTAACCTTGTAATCTGGCACATCTTAGATAAAGGATACAATTAGAAATTCTATAAAAATTTGTAAAAATCTGAATTTTTGCTTTATACCAGTGTATAATTATGTACAAAGCCATAAATCCAAGCCATTTTATTCACTATGGATATGCTTTACAGATACATATATCAACAGATAGACACAAATACATATGTATAATTTTAGTTAAAAATAAAATATAGCATTTGAAAAACTGATATTCGATCAAATATAGAGGGACCAAAATAGTGAGAAAATGAAGACATCCAAAGCACAATTTTCCAGAGGAACTCAAAATAAGATGAATGCTTGAAATAAAGAGTAGAGGTTATAGGAACACCTACCACCTCTACATTAAACAGTTATAAAGTAGTAAAAACTAAATGATATTTGATACCCACTTCTATTTATCTCTGTAAGATAGATTTGTTCATGTACAACCAGGTATAAAAGCTGGAATGCAAAAGCACTTAAGCCAAACTTGTTCACCACCAATTCTCCTGCTATCACTGCTGATGGATATTAGAAAAGAATACAAATCATCCGGAAAAAGAAGCATACACCCACACCCCTACTGCAATACAGACGGATGAAAATTCTGAGAACTTGCCTCTTTCTCAGTGTCTCTAGAGATACATGTCCACTGGTTCTCCTTCACACTGTACGCCCAGAAGTCAGCAAGATCTTGTGTTCCATCCCAGCCACCAAACAAATAAACGGTCTCTATGAAAATTAGAAAATATATGTGAAAAGATAAAGACAAAATATAAGTCTAGGCACCCAGACCTATCCAGTTGTCTCTAAGATCATTTAAGAAGGTACATGTAAATAAACTTAAAACTATTAAACTGATAATATTTCATAATGTTTCTAGACTAGTATTTCCTAAACGCAAGTATATAGAAAGACTGCTGCAGAACACTACTTGGAGAGATTTATAAAAATACAGCTAATGAGGAGGTATTCCCTAGATTCCGATTCTGTAGGTAAAAAGAGTCTGTATTGTTAAAGTATCCAGGGTGAAATTGATATGCAGCCAGTTTAGGAGTTTCTGTTTGGCCACAAAAATTTACATTTACTATATTAATAATGCAGCTTCAGGCTACATAAAAAAAGAGAAAAAAAGAAATCTCAGAGAAATATATAGTATAAAATATAAAGACATCTATTTTTCTTTAAAAAAATATTTTATTTATTTATGTTTCTAAAGAGAGGAGAAGGAAGGAAGAAAGTGAGGGGGAGAAACATCGATGTGCGAGAGAAATATAGATCAGCTGCTTCCTGCACACCCCCAACTAGGGACCTGGCCTGCAACCCAGGCATGTGCCTTCACCCAGAATCGAACTGGTGACCTTTTCAGTTTTCGGGACAATGCCCAACCCACTGAGCCACACCAGTCACAGCAAGACATCTAGCTATTTCTGGGGGCAAAAATCACATTAAAATTTCTTTCTTTCTAATGCAATACTAAAAATAATAATTGACTGGCAGTTAAAGTTAGATATCTTAAAAATATAGTAATGCACATGCCTTGATATTCCAATGGAAACTGGGGGAATATTTTCCACATATATGTGTGTGTTTGTATATATTGTAGTAGATTTAACTCCTCATAATCAACCTTTAAATCACTGCAGGTTATCTTGAGAATTTGGTGTCTTCTAACTCTGAAATATCCATTTTACCCATGGACTTTATCCTGTGATAACACCGATGTCTTGCCCTGGCTGGTGTGGCTCAGTGGACTGAGTGCCAGCCTGCAAACTGGAGGGTCACCCATTCGATTCCCAGTCAGGGCATGTGCCTGGGTTGAGGGCCAGGTCCCAGGGTGGGGGAGAGGGGGTGTAAAAGGCAACCACACACTGAGGTTTCTCTCCCTTTCTCCCTTCCTTCCCTTCTGTCCTAAAATAAATAAATATACAGATCTTTGAAATAATTAAAATCTTAAAAAAAAAACCACCTGATTTCTTGCTTAGTGAATAGTGAAACTCTTTACACATCACAATGTGCATATCCCACTCCTCTTTATTATATAATATGAGTGACTTTACTTTCTTCAACTATTTTCCCTTTTTGTAAATAAATGTTTTATGCCTACTGGTGATATAAAGCCTAGCAATTTTTTAATAAAGTTAAATAAGACATTACAGGAAAACTGTAAAGATGTCTACTCTCTAACTGACATGCCCTAGTCCTATACATGAAGAGACTGCCATCTAAGTTATGTCCCACCATGAAGGGTTACATACAATTCAAAATGCACCTGGAAGTACTAGTAACACCATTTAAGAAAATTCTTGTCATTCATAATATTAGGCTGTCTTCTAAAAGATTTTTGTCATATAATTTCAAACTTTAAGTGAATTTTCTAAGAAACATCCCATTCTATGCTCCAAGAATCTTGGGAAATCAAAACAATACTTCTGGATAAGAAGAGATCACTGGAACAGCACTGCGTTCTTGTGCTAACTCAACAACAAGTCACTTAACCTCACTGCTTCGTAGTTTCTTTATTTATAAAATTCTCAGTGCTGTGGTGAAGTTCTTCAGATATCAGCTACATGAAAACATCCTAAAAGCTGTCAAGTATAAATAGCATTTATTCCTTTAAAACACAGCTGGCAAACACAAAGTCCTTGGGCTGAATCCCACCCTCCACTTTGTTTTATCCAGCCTGGAACCTTGTTTCTACCCAGTGGCAGCGCCGAGCTCTCGCTTCACTGTTCAGAAGTAGTTACATTTATACAGTCCTAAAATTACATCTGGCCCTTTGAAGGCAACTGCGAGGGTGATGTGTCCCCTGGTAAAAATGAGTTTGATACCCCTGCTTTAAAATGTACAGAAATAAGAAATATTTGTAGTTATTAAGTGCTACAGTTGTAATAAAAAAAAGTATTATTGTACCTGATTCCATGTTTAAATAGGTACCTAGAATACTTTAGGCTCAGTACAAATGTGAAACAATGGCAATTGAACTATTAAAAATTATCATATCTCAGAACTGTAAAACAACCCGTTATCATTAGTTAAGTAACATTCTGTTTTCGAAATGATTCACAGTAAATAATGCCCAGATATGTAGAATTTTACAGGAAAAATTGGAAGATTTTTCATCTGGCTTAAAAATTATTTGCCGAGGCATCATCACTACAAAGGCAGTTAACCCTGTTCCATTCTGAAGCCTGGAGAGGGAGGGGGTATAACACTAAAATAGCAATAGCAATTGACCTTTTGTTTTATAGTGTTTCTGGGCACCCTCTGGATAAGGTTACCCTGGTTCATTAACTTTAATAACCCTTCCTCTTGGGCTCTGGGTTCTCAATGTTCTTTTTGAAAAGCAAGTCTCTTTGTACGCATAAATTCTCACAGCAAAGAAAACCCACATTTCCACAACAGCCTCATTGATAGCTGAGCAAAATAAAATCTGGCACGAAACAAGCATCCCAATGGAATGAATCCAAAATGTCATTCTTGTCTATGAATACTTTTTTGGTCCCAGTTGAAGTTTAATAGTAAAATTGAATAATCAGTCAGAAAGAGGACCATCTGACATACCTGAATGAAGTGCATAACACAATTTTAATTAAATCTTCAAATTGTTTAAGTTAAATCATTCAGTTATGAAATACTATGTAGAAACAAACACCAGCAGAAGTATTTATTATTTAATGCATAAGTAATACAAAAGATTTTTAAAGAATATAGAAATAACCGGACAGAACTGTAGTGAGAAGAAAATTAAAAAAGGAAAACATTGTTTGCAACAGGGTAGTAGTTTAGTTTACTGAATGTCCATTCTCATGCTTAAAGGTTGTGTAACTATTCATGCACATCCCTGGGGCAGTATAATCCTCCTCAAGAAGCAGCCCTCTCTTTTTTTCTTAAAGGAGAACAGGCTACAGAGGTCATCCATTTCTCCCAGCATTCAGAGGAATGTTTAGTCAGTATGTTCTGAGTACTAATCTGAATTGGTAAGCACTTTAGAGAAAGAAAAAAAAAAAAGACACAGTCCCTATCCTCAAGGAACTTACAGTCAAGTTGAGTATAAAACAAGTACATAAATCATCATGACCACAGGCTAGCTAAGTGCCGTAAGAGAGGTAAAAAGTACCATGAGGCTTCAAAAGAGGGAGGAGAGTACATCTGGTTAAGGGGACTCAGGAAAGGAAGGCTTCAGATAACAGGGGTATTTGCATCACGAGGTGGCTTTGTTGATAGAATGGGGAACATGAAGAGGGGATTTCAACAGAGTAAAAAATAAAGGTAAAGAGACAGAAAAACACAAAAAGTGTTTTAAAAGCCAGGGACTCTAAAGTCAGATGGATCTCAGACAGCACTGCAACTCTACCACCACAGCTGTGCAATCACCACAAAGTTCCTTAAGCACTGTTTTCCTCATCTCTAAAATGACACAGTTTTTAATCTCATAAAGCCACTGTGAGAATTAAATAATGTGTGCAAAGTGGTAAAAACTGTAATTAATAAATGCACTGTTCAATTTAAAAGAACACAAAAAGTAGTAGGTGAGGGTGAGGTTGAAAAGACGGGCAATGGCCAGAACACAGAAGGGGTTACATGACAATACCAGAGGCTAAGCATTTGAGGAGCCAGAGCCACAGATGTTGTAATGGAGTAGCTGCAGAAGACCTTAGGCAGAGATGTAGCATGGTCAGATCTCAACCAGCAGCATATGAAACTGACAGAAAAGGAGGAGCCAATGAAAGAAAGGAATTGAAGTAAATTGACCAATAAAAGCCTATTGTTAGGCCAATTGTTCAAAATGTTACACCAATTTCACTCTAAGAGACTATAATGAATCAATCATCAACCAATAAATAAACCTCTCATTACTCAGGCCACAAAAACTAAAATTCAACCATATTCTTTGGTACAGGTCTTTCTGGTACCAGTAGTAAACTCTACAGCTACTGAGTACCAGTAGTACTAATCTACACATCTTATGCCCACTAAAAATAAGGTAGAAATGTTAATACATCAATGTCTTTACCTATTTTTCACAAAGAGGCAGACTTTTTATTTTAAGAGCCCAAATGCAGTACCTAACTCTTATTTTTTAGGGGTAAATAAGATTGTGCTGATTGCATTATTGTCCACAAGATGGCACACTATTTTTGTAATTAAACTGATTTTCCCCCGCTTTGAAACAGTGAAGAATGCATGTACTAAGCACTGACAGGGTAGGCCCAACCGTAGATAAAATTCATATGTCAAATAGAAGAGGTAGGAGAAGTGTTAACAGGTTAGTGAAGGAGGTTAACTTAATAATTAGTTTAATATAGACACTGAGAAAAAAACAAGTAAAATAGAAAAAAAGTTTTAAGAAACTTAAAGGTACAGGGATTATAAATAATAAAACTGACATATACACCAGTAGAACAAAATATTACATTCCTTCTCTGTCATGGTATGGAACGATAGAATTCACTTAGGATGGAAGAAAGGTTTGAAAATTAAACAGTAAAATTTATGTCATCCTGTACTTTCTAAAATTATTCTTAGAGTTGTAGTAAATGGAAAAAACTATAAACTAAAAAAGGAAAAGAAAATGTAGGTACTATTAAGTTTTTAATATTTAAGAAAACAAGCTACATGAAACACTATGAAGCAATAATTGCTCTGAAATACAAATCACTTTAAAAGGAACAAGTAATGAACTTTATGAAGTTTTACTCTAGTAGAGGTATCCTTAACTTTCTGAGTGAACATTCCCTTTGAGGATCTGAATTCATGGATTCTATCTTCCCAGAAAAATGTACAAACAAAATTTTGTATATAAACTGAACAGATTAAGAGCCCTCCCTCTGGAAACCTTCAAGATGCACACACATACTTTACCAATGGGGCTTCTCTAAATTCTATTTCACTATTTAGGCACCAACTTTATAAAGATAAAAATTCTAGGTTCTCCAAACTCTACTTGGGGAAAAATCATTATTTATTACTGAACCTACCTACTGCTTTATCAACAAAATTGTATTTTTTTAAAAAGATTTTATTTATTTATTTTTAGAGAGGGGAAAGGTGGGGAGAAAGAGAGGGAGAGAAACATCAATGTGTGGTTGTCTCTCACACACCCCCTACTGGGGACCTGGCTGGCATCCCAGCCTTATACCCAGACTGGGAATCAGACAGGGGCCCTCTGGTTTGCAGGCCAGCATTCAATCCACTGGGCCACACTAGCCAGGGCTATCAACATAATTGTTAGGTGGGGTTTTAATTTTTTAATTCTAAAAATCTTCTAAGTATACTTACAGCTTCCCTTCCTTTCTAAAATTTGGACAATATATATAAAAGATGAAATAAATATACCAAATAAATACTGGGTGAGTTATTGTTTTTTCCTGCCACATGGCCTTTTCAAGTTGTTTTAAATCGTTTTTCAAATTTTTAAGTTATTTAAAAATATTTCCACTGTGAGATTGTCAAAAACAACAGAACTAATCAGTATATACTATATATTAATGTTACATATAAAAATATATTATATAAATGATACATACTTTATATATAAAATATATTATTTCCTTTAACTCTCACTACAACTTAATTTATTATTCCCATTTTTATCATTATGAAAACTCACCCAGGATCAAATAAAAAGACAGTAGTAAAGTGAGGAGGATGCACGTCCCAGTGTGTCTACCGCACATGTGCAGGCACATAACACACACTGTTCCCACAGACTCAACCCCAGTTGTTACATCAAGGTTCTTTCAAATATTTACAAAAACCATAATCTCTCTGAAGGTAATTAAGATCAACCTGCTTAAGAGTGCACTGGTACATCCATGATGAAATAAATACCTAAAGTATATAAAAGTGCCTTGGTAAATCCTGCTATTAATAGTTTTATAATAGAAATAGAAGGATTTCTAGAAAAAAATATTCCAAGTATATGCAGTTTCTGCTCTTGTACCCAAATTAAACGCAGAAAGCATTAAATGTTACCCTAAAGAATGCAAAGCTCTATAAAACTTCTAATTTTTCTACCTAGATCCTAAGGTAATGATAAATACAGCTTTAAGAAAGCAATATATATATATATATACTAGAATAAAACAAGCAAGTTCTTAGTATATTGCAAAGAACAGTTCCTTCTATAATTAGTTCTTCTCAGCATTCTACAGCACTTTTCCAAATACAATTCCTTCTTAAAAGGAATGCTGGAAATTGATATTTTCTGCAACTTATAATATTTATTAATCATAGAAAGTTTTGATACTGCATTCTAAAGTAGAAAATTTAAAACCACTGGTAACTACCACCCAGACATAATGAATGTCAATAAATTTTGGTGTGTGTCCTTCTAGTATTCCCCTCAGTGGTCAACAACAAATTTAAAAAGAATGATCACTTCCGCCCCAATTCCTGTTTCAAGATATCAAAATGAAGATGAGAGGTCTGAAGTAGCACCTTCTTTGAAACACATCATTGAAACATATCATTTAAACATTTTTAAAAACCAAAAGGAAGAATCCCACACCGAGATGTTTTGCACACCATCCCTATTACTCAGACAAAGAATTACTTGCTTGGTTAACCCTTTCAACCTCAATATTCATGCACAGTTAGTATTTAAGCCTATTTGAGTTAGGGGCAACTTCATATTAATTGACCATCTATGATTATTTAGTTATACTAAATTTTAAGTTAAAGTCTGAAAATCTAGTTTCATCATCACCCATGGGCCTAAATAAAGTAAATATTCAACATCCAGAAAGTTTTTTAGAAAGCACTGAAGCAGATACAAAATGGCTCTAAATAAAAATCCCTGTCCTGGATAAATCCTAAATCTTCCACGGCAGAAATATGTGCTTAAAAATATATTTCCAAAGTACTTCTATTACTCTTTATGAACTGCTGCTGCTACTAGAAGTCCAGATACAGGTCAATTTTTCTTTGTAGACTTTGTTACCCTATCCTCAAAAGTTATCAAAAAAGATCATTGTTTCAATCATTCCACCTGGAGTAATATCCATAACTATAATAGTTAATCTTCGTATGCCTTCTTGTAATTATTATTCCTAAAGCATAAGAAGTAAATACTCAAACAACTCTTTCCCTTTCCTTGAGATATTTTTGTTTAAAGAGAATGGAGTTAGGGACGTTGACAATCAAGAGTTTGCTGAAATCCTATCCTTAATGCATAAATCAAAGGCATTACAGAAAAATACTTGGACCTTTATCACTGTATTGTAATTATTTCACTTCAAGGATCCCTGACCCAAATAATTAGCTTTTAATCTTCATGACTTGCTCATTCTAAGTTCTGTCGTAACATCTGATTATTGTTTGAATCTGTTTTATTTTCAAGCATCACGGATTATAGATTAAGAGGCGAATTTTCTCTTACACATGCACTTTACCTACTGTACAATAATCAATACAGTAAACACTGTACAAATTGCTTCTGTTCCCTAAAGATGTGAGCTTCAAATAAAAAGTGAACCACATTATTTTCACATTTTAAAAAATCAGCATTTTGTCTAGCGGAGCTTTTTCAAATAAACACCCTTCTTCAGTATATTATTGTCATACTTTAAAAAAAGAGTTGAGTAATATTTTCAGTTCTGACTGAGAAATAAAAAAGGCATTATAAATTCCACTGTATGTTCAAAAGAGGAAAAAAGCTACTGAAGACAATCTACACACAGTTTCATCTCTATTTTCATCAAATATTTCATTTTTCCAGATTAAAAATATCTGTACATACATCTGGTTCTTTAAGAAATAAGCATATGTACTGGACTCTCAGGCAAAAACCAAGATGCCTAGATGTCTAGGACTCTGCAGAGGAGTGAAGCCTATTTCTGTGGGAGGGAAGAGAGGGCCAAGATCAGGAAAGCAAATCCCTAGGTCTTGAAATGAACCTTTTCTAGAGACCCTAATGATATTGCCAAACAAGTTAACAGGTAATACCAATTTAGTAGGTAATTTAATTTTTTAAATTATATTTTACTGATTGTGCTATTACAGTTGTTCCAGTTTTTCTACCTTTTGCTTTCTTCACCCAGCACTCCCCACTCCCTCAGGCCATCCCCACACCATTGTTCATGTCCATGGGTCATGCGTATAGGTTCTTTGGCTACTCAATCCTACAATGTACTTTACATCCCGATGGCTACTATGTAACTACCTATTTGTACTTAATCCCCTCCCATTCCCACACACCCCCTCCCATGCAGCAACCATCAAAATGCTCTTCATATCCATGATTCTGTCTCTGTTCTTCTGTCTGTTTAGTTTGCTTTTTAGATTCAATTGTTGACAGCTTTGTATTTTATGCCATTTTACTGTTCATAATTTTGATCTTCTTTTTCTTAAATAAGTTCTTTTAACATTTCATATAATAATGGTTTGGTGATGATGAACTCTTTTTTTTCTCTTGTCAGGGAAGCTCTTTACCTGCCCTTCAACTCTAAATGATAGCTGTGATGGGTAAGGCAGTCTTGGCTGTAGGTCTCTGCTTTCAATGACTTTGAATATTTCTTGCCAATCCCTTCTTGCCCATAAAGTTTCTTTTGAGAAATCAGCTGACTGTCTTATGGGAACTTTCCTGTATGTAACTAACTGCTTTTCTCCTGCTGCTTTTAAGATTCCCTATTTTTAAGCTTTAGCATTTTAATCATGATGTGTCTTAGAGTGGGAAGTTAATTTTAAATAAAATATTATAATTTCTTATTATTTACAAAATATTTGTGAAAATACATTAATATTTAGAAGACTATCTACATTAAAATAATTTTTACTCTTAATTATTTTATGATCTACAAAACAACTTATTTATTCCTGAAACACTATGAGTGAGCATAACACAACAGAAATGAGTTACACTGGAAAACGTAAAATATTACTTGGATGAATACTGGCATTCTGTAGCATAGCTGTTTAAAATCAGATAACAAACTAAAATCATAGCAAATTCTTGGTATTATTTGTTTTTCAAGATGGTAATTTGAAACCTATTACAATTTTAGCATTAACCTCTAAATATAATGGTATTTAAGCTGTCCGAGCCTGTAAAAATCTAAGGAAAATTTTCAATACCAAATTATAGATTAAAATTTAAAAGGCAACAAAATAAAATAACTAAAATAAATTATTTATAGGCTTGTGAACAATGTTTAGCAATTAATGGATCCACCAACGCTTAACCTACTAATTTGGTAGTCTCTCCCACTAAAAATATATCGTAAGTCTGTTTTATTACTATAATTCTCATAGTATGGCATTAAAATATAAATGCACTGAAAATCTAGAAATATATCAGTTTACAATGAAAATCAGATACAAATAAAATCACTCACATACACAGCTATAAAGGGCTACACATTACATTTCTTTTAGGTTATCTAATTCCATTTGTGTAGCAGCCTCTCCCCTCCTGAGTCACTGCCTAGTTTAGATTGTACCCATGGCCAATGCCTATTTTCTCTGCTACTAGGTTATGGCCAATAACATTTAACCTTTATAATGAATGGAAAGTATATTCATGTTTATCTGATATTTAAAAATGCGTAATTTTTTTAAAAATTTGCTTTCCATTTCAAGTATCCCTCACCTGTTTGAACATCAATAACCATCTGATGGCCTCCTCTCATTCCTGGTCTGTTATCTTCTCCATCACCTGAAATAGAAACAGTATTTTCTTATAAAGGAATAATATAGAACCAGAAAACCCGAGTAACATATAGTCTGTAATGACTAGTAAAAATAACAGGTAGTTATTCTTTCAATATTAAGTAAAAAGATTCAAAAAATAATATAACTAACAGCTGGGCTTATAATAATTATCTTGCTCTTTTTACCAATTGCTTTCAGGCTATTAATGCAATTGGAAGCTATTTTCAATGTATTTATGACCAATGCCATAAACCAGCAAAGACACAGAATATTCCACAAAAACCTAAGACAAGATAACTTTAAACTACTGAAGTAAGAAAGTGAAGGTGGAAAATAATTACAGAATTACACATCAGGTGTATAATCAAGGCATAGCTTATAAGTAGAATGGGTTTTTAAAATTCATAAAACCAGCTACCTAAAGCTAAGATGTTATCAAGTTTTATACTAATAATGTTCTTACTGTGTTAACTTTGTGTCAATATTTCAGAAAATAGTTCGCATCCAATAGATCACTATTTTATATGAGTACTGACTGAGAACATGTAAGATTTGCTTTCCTTTGATTGATATTTCCATCAGTGAAACTTTTAAACATCTGTAGGAGAAAACTATTGTTAAACTTATAACTAATAATCTTACTTTATACCAAATCTTAATATAAATGAAGATATAACTTCATATCAATAATTCAACAGGTTATAGGATTCTAATGTCTTACCCTTTCTGATATAAACCAGAAAACTGAAGGGTTTTTAACAGCTTTCACATTAATTGAAATATATTACTTTGGCTAATAACTTTCTTTGTAAAATTATACAAAGTATATTTCGTCCTATGTAAAATAGCAAACACCCAACTTTTTACTAATTTCACAGGGGTACTATGAAAAAGACTAAAATGTTAGTTCTTATACATAAAGAATAAGATCAAAACCAAAGCTTTTCATTACTAGTATATTCAAGAGCAATCATTTGAAAGTTCTCTGCAAATTCTTTCTTCTTTCTAATAGTTAGATTTTGATTTTGCAGCTCATTATCACTGAAGTTTTGTCCTTTCCTTCCTTCTTCCCCCAGTAAGTACTGGCACTTGCAAAAACATATTAAGAAAAATGAATCTATTGTTGATATGTTTGTATTTTATATATTTAATCCATTAGTTTTCAAATACACAATTATAGTCTGGTTGCTATAACATCTATTTCTTTAAAGAAAATTACCTCACATATGACTCATAAAATAGGAGAATGCTATCCATAACAGAAATTATAGAAGCTCATGACAATTTTCTCCAGTATATTAACGTTCAACACTATCAGAAGAAAGCTTTCTCATGATTAAAGAGACGCCCTTAGCCATCAATATATGAAGACCATAGGAAAAAGGTGAATATCCATAGAACTGCCTTCTTTTAGTGCAAGTAGTTTCATTAAAGAACTGCTACCTTTTCTACTATGTTAACCAACTGGCAGAGCAATGAGTGAAGATAAGGTGAAAAAATTTCCCCCCTCTGAAAAAATGGATGAAGGAAGAACACTATACCCTAGATCAAGTTATGATTAAAACAGCTTTTATTGGAAGCAAATACATTCAAACAAAGCAGCATGAGCCCTACAGTTTAAGACTCCAAAGTCATTGTGATGTTCCATATAAGTGCCTGCAAAAATTTAACTATACTAATATTATTTATTTTTATTAGAATTACTACTCTCATTTTTATTAGTACCTGGTTATAAAATTTCAAAGATCTAGAATAGTATGCCCATTTACATTATTCTCATGAGCCCTATTAGCTTAAGTGAACAATTCTGCAGAACTTAAGGTTTTTCAGGAACATGTCTGACATTGTAACACAATGACCTGTAATTTTACAGTGTCTCTATAAAAGTAGCTCATGATGGCATTCTATGTAAAACTTCCCAATCTTCTGTTATAGCAGTAAAATAAAGAGTTTAAAAAAATTTTTAACATCATAAATTAAACCTGCCATCTAGTTAAGGAACCTATGTCTTATTTTAAACACCTGTTCTTCATTAACAGAGCACTGTGAAACTCAAGCTACTGTAGGAAAAGTGAAAATGAGACATTACAGCAAAAGCGCCCACAACCTAGAAGGCAGCGCTTACCTTTGGTGCTTTTGGGAATGATTTGACTCCACCGTGGCTTATATTCCTGTTGACTGATATACTGATTGAACAAGCCATCTGCAAATATCAAAGAATAAGAAAGAATTACACTTTAACCAGTTTACGTTTTTTATTGTAGCAAAAAAGACAAAAATGTAGAAGCCTACATTAAGGGAAATTACTAATATGTCATTAACACAATAGCACATTTTCATAAAATAAGTCACTTCAGTTTTCATGCTACCTCAATACAAAAAGTAAAATATTAGTTGACACAACCATGTAAAAATTGTTTTAATGGCAGCGCATATTAAACTTACTATGCTTTCCCCATTTTTGCTACTTCTATAATTTCAGAAAAAAACCTAGAATTATCTTCTGGAGGGCGGGCCCCTTGCAATACAGGCTTCCCTCGCTAGATGGGTGTTCTAGAACCCATCTGTATCTGTACCAACTGGCGTTGTTGTGGGAGGCTGAGTTTGGTTTCAGTGAATTTTTTTTGAAGACTCAACATATTTGCACACTTCATGATAGGTGATTTATGAGTGCACCTGCCCACACCATGCTGAGTGTTCAGCAGTTTTTGACCAAAAAATGCATGACCCTGGTGCCCCACCCTCCCTATGCACCCAATCTTGTCCCGAGCAACTTTTTTTTTTGGTTTCCCAGGTTGAAAAAAGTCCTCAAAGAGAAACATTTTGCCAATGTGGAAGAGGTGAAACAAAAAACAGCAGAAGCACTAAAAGGCATCAAAATCAACGAGTTCAAAAACTATTTTGAGCGGTGGAGAAAACATCTCAATAGGCATATTGCATCAAATGGAGAGTACTCTGAAGGTTACTGAAGTTTAAACGTGTAAGAATAAATACACAATTTTTAATAAATAAATACCAGTTTTTGGGGGGTCTCCCTTGTATAAGAAGACTAAAGAAGAAAACGGGAGCTCCAACAACTTTGGTTTAGGCCCTTATATCTTCAGGAAAAATCAAAACTAATCTTTTAAAGTGAAAATGCCATTTTCATAGTTTTCTTTGAGTATAAAATTACACAGAGATAAGAGTAACAGTTAAAGAAATTAGTATATTTATTGCATATTTACTAAATGTTAGAATCTATGCTATCTTAATTATTTGATTTAATTCTGAAAACAACCTTATGAACTAGGCATTAGCACCTAAATTTTATAGATGGGGAGATGTGTAGAAAAATTAAGAAACTTAACCAAAAGCACGTATCTCCTAACCAAGACCACATATCAATAAATTCTTAATCTACTTCTTAAGAGGATTTGTTGCACTAGTTACTATAACGGTCATGGAGCCTCAACTCCCCCACATGCATCCATTCTATCCCAAATAATGATCAGTCCTTAATCCCATGCCCCTCGCCAAAGATTAATTTAACAAAGATATGGAACATAATAGTGGCTAATGAAACATGAAGATTTTGGGGGGTTACATCTAGGACATGTTTCCTACTTTAAAATAAACATACAGAGAAGAAAAAACTTTTACTCTTCTATAAATTTTCGTATCTGTATACAATGTACACAAATGCTACAGCCAATCTATAGAAGCATAAAAATGAAGTCAATTCTATAATGATGACAGAAACTAAATCACAGAGTCAACCAACCATGAAAACTACCTATGGACTTCTTATTATGTGATATTTCATTACCATTCAAACTAGGGTTTCTTTTATGGGAGCCAAAACAGGTAACTTAGAAAGTTCACTTTATGATAAATTCTTTCATTGGATTCTGATTTCAATCTGAGTAAAGATTTTCCCTTTTGCTTAGTCACTGAAAGCAAATACGTCTCTAAAGAACATTTAAGTAAAACTGTCTGTTCTTCATTACTTGTATACTCACCAGAGACTGTAATATACACAAATCTCCCTAATCTCTTCTCTGGGTAATTATGAAGCTCAGTGGTAACCACACCCTTCCAAGCTTTTTCAGATGGCTTTAATGGAAACTTCCATCCATATACTCATCTAGGTTCTCTTTTTCTTTGCCTTTGGGACTGTCCAAAATTCTTTATTGTTAAATTTTTATTTATTGATTTGAGCGGGGGTGCGAGGGGGAAGTGGGAGAGAGAAAGAGAAACATCAATTTGTTTGTCATTCCACTTATTTATGTGTTCGTTAGTTGATTCTTGTATATGCCCTGACCTGGGATCACAATGCTCTAACCAACTGAGAACCCAGCAGGGCTCAAAATTCTTTTATTAATGATTCATTAATATTTTTATTTTGAGTTATAATCAATTATTACTTTAAAAATCCACTTCATAAACATCCAATTGATGCTGACTTACCACTAAAAAAAAAATAAATCATCATGTTTGATTTATAATACAGAATACACAATATATTATGTTTACATGCAGTTACTAGACTGTCACACAAAAGATAAAAAATACAGTATTTTTACATTTTTTAAGATTTACATTTTCATATGGTTTATAAAGTTTAAAAAGTTCTCTGTACATAATTTCATGTGTTACAGAGTTTATACATCCCTATTCTCATGGCTGTACCACCACACAGATGTATCTAAAACTACAATGCTGCACAGTTTTGTTTAGTATTTTTACTTCATACTCAGTCTTTGCACCCATATACTATTACCATTATTTTTGAAATGTGAATTACAAAGGAAGTAAAAGTAATTATGCAGACTTTTTAATATACAAAAAATGAGATAAAATGTTATACTAGATCAACATTTATCAATTCCATAGTTAAGTAGTTCTGTTTAACTTCCTGAATTGCTTTCATACAGGTGCATGCAAAACTAGCAGATTACGGATTGTTTTAATAATATTAAAATGTTATTACAATCTGACAATACTTCGGCATTAGAAATGCAATTATCTAACAACCATAGCCTGTTGATTATTTCTGCTTTAGCAGACACCTTAGCTAATACATTACATACTAAAATTCACAGAAATGGCAATATTATAATTCCTAAGTCTACAGAGTCTGCATCAGATAGTAAGCGATCATTTAAAACAACAACAACAAAAGTGTTTAACATTTAAGAGTATATTCTCTGTTTTGAGAATGGGGAAGAGGAGAGATTTAAGATAAACCATTAAAGGAGTATCCATCTTCCCTGCTAAGGAAGCACTGGTCCACTCCCAATCTGTTTAAATAAAGACACCTGAAGCTTTACAAAAGGTTTAAGATGGGCTATACTATTCATCTTTAAAAATTTTTTTAAAGTAATAAATTGAAGGTATCAATACCTTCCCTCCTCCCCCAACTATCTAACCAATGAGAAAAATCGAGTCTAATGTCTAGAGTATTGTTAATTGTTTGAGAGGCACAAACCCATTTGAAGGTTTAGGATTAAATGTGAAAACAGGCCAGATCTGACCTGGATAATAAATAGAAAGTAGGTATATTCCAGTCTATGCAATCCCTGCCTAGATAGGGGCTGGACCAGAAAACTACCTACTCCCCCGGTTATTGCTTTAAAACCGGACACATGCTTTAAATTCTGACATAGAACAATTTGATTTCTAAGATGGAAAGCACAATGTCTGTGCTACTTTGAAGCTGTAGAAGAAAGAGCACTCTTGATCACAGGAAGGAGAGCAACTGAGACTCTCCACAACTCATATTTTCACAAGAATCTTCACTTTCACTTTCATCAAAACAACCTCCTCCTGGTATTGTTGGCAGCCCAGGGACACTACAGTAGCTGTTGTGGAGGTTTTCAGCTGTGTGCCTTGACAACCCAAACCAGTTTCTTAAGACTGGGTTTGCAACATTCAGGAGAATATTCGGCTAGGCATTTAGAAACTAACTCCCTCCAGTAAATTTATTTGGTGTTATTAACTTTGGAATGTTTTGTAACAAGCAGGAAAAATTTCAGTAATTCAATGGATTTCAAAGTTTCTACTTCCAAATTGAGAAGGCACAAAGCTAATACAAATGGATTTTGCTTTTGAAAAGGTAAATCAGCAGTTGTAAGCTTTCAAATGAGCTTCTAGTTTATCAAGGCTCAGTATTTCCTTCCTTTCTGAAGTATGACAAAGTACAACAGTGCAAAAAGTTAAAGGCAGTAGAAGCTCCAATTCATACTGCAATTTTTCTGAAATTATTTTTCCCATCCATTTTATGTCAGAGGCAGTACATTTGCACTGACTAATCCAGATTACATCATGAGTGGATGGAAATACTGCATTCTTCTTCAACTCTTCTAGCAGCCAGCAAAAAAACAAGACTCCAATGCAAGACAAATGTTTAAGTTTCATCTTCATAAGAGCCAAGAATCTCCTCAAAATACTGACAGCCAGGACAAAAGTTTCAGTGCAAGATCCAAAGAAATTGCCTAAACACCTTCTCCGGTAGCATTTCTCAATCTTAGACACAAAGTGTTTTATCAGTAGCCTCAATCAAGCTCGGCCGTTTTTCTCGAGGTTGGAATCTCTGTTCCTGTTCCAGGTAGACATTCGACAATCTGAAGAGCTGGACCCCTTTATGACCTCCCGAATACTCTGCCCCCAAATCCTTCACCGTGCTGGAGATGCACCTCCACCGGCATTTGGCATTGCGGACTGGAGGTGACTGGGTGCAGCGTGACATCCAGACCTGTCTCCAAGGACCTGCCACCTCAGCGGCGCCCCCTGACCAGCATCTGACCCTTCCCCTCCATCATGGCCCCCACGGTCTTACAACCCCGGCTTCATTCCCGGGCACCCACCCTTCTGGGGTGGAGTGTTGGCCCTTCAACCCCTGCCCCTCTAACAGGCACCACGGTTGCAGCCCACGCCTCAAAATCCTTATAAAAAGAAAGTTCTAATGTTATTTCCTTTTAAAGTTATAACTGATAAATTAGATTTTATATTTTAATTGGTAAAGTAACAGGAACAAGTAGGTTCACAACTTATTTTAGTGAGAGTGTTTCTATAATATAATTTACTCCCCATGGGCTTTTCTGACAATTTTTGCCCCATTCAGCTTATTTTAACTAATACTCTTCTCCCATTACAAGAGTGGAAATCCTTTCTTCAGATAAAATGTTGTGGAGCTCTTAATAATAGTAAAGGTAAGATTATAGT